AAGAAAGATTGTATTCCCAAATCATAATCCCCTCCTAACTTCCTTTCCTTATTTATATACTGCTGTTACAATTCTGTTATACCAGCCTCTCCACTTGTCTAGTTTGTTCTAGTGGTTGGCTGTTAGTTACATTCTTTAAAGGCTGGCATGGCCTTTTCTTGTACACTTGTATCCCCTTTATTTGTGTCTCAACAAAAGCCAATGGTACAGATCTGGCCATTGGAGGACCAACTACACCAAGAGAAGACCTATGTTGGCTTTGTCATAGAAAACCAAGTGGTTAAATTCTTTATTTGTCCTTTTATAAAATATATTGTATTTTCTTCTCTTGTTCATTTTAGGCATTTCAATAGGTGTGATTCTGTTAATCATCATTGTTCAACTTGAGGTTTGCTTTTATGTTCCTTATGGTCATCCTTGCTCTTAAACAAAGAGAACTTTGCCTTCACAAATTGAGATAAGTTGGATTCTCTTTCGTGATTATGGATCAAAGGATGATTTTTTATTTGATGTTGCATATCTGATTTGTCATAAGTTGATATTAATGCCGTTTACAATTTTCCTCTATATCCCTCTTCTGCTTTCCCCTTGATATGCAACAATTTCATTATTAATAAAACAAGGTTGCTGATGGTCAATTTGAAAAATTTGGGAGATTTGTACATTCCTTAAACACGTCCGCATGTATTATGTGCAAAGGATCAAGGATGAAACGACATATCAATCTTTGCATGAATTTTAAATTAACACATTTTCCAGTGACTCTTTATCTAAGAATAGTGTGCAAAATGGGAATGGAAAGAATAGAACAAAAAAGTATTTATTATTTATCAGAAAACAAGAAAGTATTTATTAGAAACTAAGTCAAGGATATATGGGTAAGTGGAAGACAGTTTACTATTTTGCCTTGAGAGCTTGGTCATGTCAAGGATTTAAGTGAGAGTGTGAGACATTGAGATCTTTTTAGCATAGTTTTAATAGATCAGCAGTGTCAATGATTCTGTTATGCTGCTCATATCATATGAGTTTAGGCTGATCAAGACCTAAAACATTGAATGCCCTTCCCTCACAAATGTTGCATTTTATGCATTAACTTGGAGATCGAAATCCATGTACACGTTTGGAGATCAGCATCCCTGCCCTGCAACCGTAATTGGTTAGGAATGGCTTTTATTATGAATGTCATACCTTGTTTATTATAAGCTTCATATAGTATGTTAGTAACTTAAACTATCACAACCTGTTGTAGTTCTTAGTATTTTGATCAAGGGTCCCTTGCATGAAGGGGCACTTATTTGACAAACAGATTGGTATCCACCTTAAGATTCCATCCCATGATTCCCACCCTCTAGTGGCTTCAAGTCCTATTTGACAAAGATCCACCAGTTAAATGTCCCCCTTCATGTGAGGATCCCTTGTTGAGATGTGACCCTTATTTTAATGTGTTCAAAGTTTCAGATACCATGTTGTCCCTATACAATGCTAAATGTTACTTGGACTTTTGGGCTATTTGCACTCTGTCGAACATTTCACATGTGAGAGCTGGAAGAAAGTTGTTTATTTTCTTAAGGCTTTTGAGCTTTGACATTCTGCCTCCATCTTCTTTTGAGTAGAATGGCAAAACAATATCTTATTATATTTCTCAGGAGCTTTACAGTCTAAAGATACAAGGATCTGTCCCTGAGAAATTTATGATGTTCTACCAAGTTTGCTTACATCCATTCAGCATGGTTGTTTGCTCAATGTCAATTAAAAAATATTGTTTAGAAAATCAGACCGGACTGGCCTGTTGAACTGTGACCAGTGCTCTTGGATGGTTCGGTCATACTCTAAAAACCAAAATTCATAGAAAACTGGCTGACCAGCTAATTTAACTGGTGTGTCGGTCCTGGTTTCATAAAACTGCTTAGGTCACTAAATGAATGGAAATTTTAAAATGCTAATGGCAAGAGTTGAACCCATGACCTCTTATTTATGTGCATTGTCTTGTTATCATTAATCCATTTTTTATTTGTTCCTCCCTAAAGTATATATTGCTTTTTATTTGAAAGGTAAAATGAAAATTTTTATTAAAAATAAAAAGAACAGGCTAATTACAAGCAGATCCAGGTTTTAAGATAACACCTGCCCAACAATCAGCAAAAACAAAATCAATAGAACAAAACAAGAGGGAACAAAAGAAAGCCCCTGAACACAGTATCTTTAATATCTTCTTCAAGCATTTTATCTTGTTGCTTTTTTCAACAATGATCTTCCTCAAGCTCTTTTCCCTCTTGCTTTTTTCAAATGCTTCAAAAGCCCTTCTGGCAAACTCCTCTCTGCCCAATAAAAGCCAACCTAAGTTCTTGCCTACATTAGCATCCCTATCAACCAAACATTCAACCTCCACTCCCCCTCTTCTGAGTCTTGACCTTTGGCTCCTTGGAACTCTCAGCATTCATCATCTTTGAACTTTTATCCTTTGAACCTCTTTTATTATAGGCTTTCTTATATTTGTTAGTAGAACCAACACCAACCAATCCATCTTTCAAACATGAGAAAACTTTTGACACATGTACAAGATGGAACTTGCTTTATTCTTTTACTTTCTTCAATGTCTCTGGAGCAACATCATCCCTTTCCTTGATCTCAGAAATCCTTCTTCAGCTTAAATAAACTCCAAGCCTTCAAACTAGGACTTCAATCTTAAACACTCTTCTTGAACTTCTGGTCCACCGTTCTCTTCTTTTGTACCTGCTTCCTCTAAATAACTGCTTGCATGTACTTCCTTCAAACATGTACCTCCTTCGAGATCCCTCCCCTCTCCTCCCCTTCTGAGTCCTTTCTTCTCCACTTGCTTTAATGCATGTACTTTAAAGAAAATGTGAGTTGAAGCTTGAACCTTGGTCATTTGCTTTAAAAATTAAGGAACTAGCCATTTATCCACCACATTCAAGTGTGTAATTGTCTGTAAAGTATATTAGATAATAGTAATTATGTAGTTATGTGACCTGCAGTATACGTAGCGTCATCGCGGTTTGACCTTGGTTGAACCTCTAACCTGTGAACCTCTCTCCCTTTTCCAGTTCTACGCTCCGTCTGGTTCTCTGAACATTGCTAAAAGGCTAACTCAACTGAAAAGTAATGTGCTTTTTGAACTGTGAGGACATTGCTCAGCCTCTTGCTTTCGGTTCTGCTAAATCTTCCTTTTCCCCTATTAATAGAATATTATTTCTTTTATTTGTGTCATTAATGCTTCTCACAGTTGTGTTGTTTTATTTATAAAAAGCACACCAATTTGTTTTGCTGAACTAAAATGAGTCTTTGAATCATACGAACAGCTTAAAGTACACAACAGCTGCCCAGGTGAGCTAGCTGATGTGGTGAAGCAGTTGGAGCAAGCAACTGGGTCAGTGGCAGTAGGTCAGATTGGTCGATCAGTGATTCTTTACAGGCCTAGCATCTCCAAATTGAAGTTAGAGGAGAAAAAGAAACAGAATGAAAGACAAAGAGCCTTTATAAGAAGAGGATCAACATTGAGACCTACAGAGCCTGTAAATGTTATTCCAAGTTCAAAAACTTGAAGTGTCTCATTAATTAAAAAAAAAAATCCAAGTTTTTCTTTGTTACAGAGAAATTTGTAACTGAACCTTTTTCTCATTTAATTGCAGAAGAAAGAACAAGTACAGAGATTATCTGGTCGTGGTCATCGTGGAAGTAGCCGGCATTGAATTCTTGATACTGTTTCTGTTGCATAATCTGTAGCTGATCGATGCTGCCAATATGGTAAAAAGAAGAAAGAAAAAAGAAAACATAATAGAATTGTAATATTATTCTTGGGTCTTCTAGAAACAAAAATCTATTTGTCAAGGGAACACATATTTGGTCAAGTGGGTCTTGGTTCATTGGTGGTGAATTCAGTTTAGAAGTTGGTAAGCAATGGGGATAGGTGCTAAGCATGATTCAATGATGTCTCGGTTATTTATTTATGACTTGGCTTGGGCTAGTGTTGCTTGTAATGTTTTATACAAAATGATGATATAGGACTGTTTCTGTCATTCTTCCTGCACCCTTTTTATTCTTTCTTTTTTGTTGCAATGTAAAAAAAAGTTCATAACAAGAGACACGAGAGATATAAGAAACACAACATATAAGAGACCCAAAGAACACCCTGCCCAAGTGCCCATTGTAGAATTGCTCCTTTCTGCCAAAATTGCTAACCATTTTGGTGGATAGCAATGTGGTTTGCAATTGCAGCATTTGAAGGGATGAGAGATCCATCGTATGAACGTCCAAAGATTACGGAATAAGGGGGCGAATTTCAAAAATTTTTCTCTCCCTTCAATTGGGAATCGCATTCCCTATTTTAGAAAATCATATTTTCAAGGATTATTCTTGAACCATAAACTGAACCAGATCTGAACCAAAAGGAGTAAGAGAGAATGTACCTGATACGGAGAAACAGTATCTCCCAATGGAGGTGTTCACACTCAAGGAAAGATCCAAAATCTGTTCCCACTAAAGATGGCGCAGTGCAGGATGGAGCAGAATCAGCAATGTTCTTCCAAAAGAATTTGACCCTTCGCAAGAATCAATCGGATGGCTTGTGAGTACAGTTCCAATAAATCTTTTCTCAAAAGATTGGTATCAAGATCAGATCTTGATTTCTTCCAAGAACTAGAGATCGAACTGAAGGTAATGGCGGCGACAATAAGGAGGCGGCAAGAGAGTATTCGCAGGGTGCAGAATTCTCTCTTCTTGTGATTTCAGCACTGAAGAAAATCTGATTGTCTTCTAAAGGCTGCCGCCCCCTTCTTTCTTTTGTTAACCTAAAAAGATCAGCTCCTAATCCAATTAGGAGTTGTTTATCCAAATCATATTTGGATCAGCCTTCTCTTTAGGTGATAAGGATAAATCCTTATCTTATCTGCAGATTAGATTAGCTTTTTCCTAAACTCATTAGGAGATTTCTAGATCTGAATCACATTCAGATTCAGATCTGGACTCTATGAGTGGATATGGTCATCCTATCTGCTAATCCATCTCAGAATTCGGCCCATAAATAACTAATTAAATAGTCCAATTCGAAATGGGCTTTAGGCCCATTAAGCTTATGTACTCACTTAACCTTCTTAACTGCTGCCCAGTTGTGCTTCCTTATATGGCGTGGGACCCAAACATTGATCTACACATCAGCCACATGGGTTCAACCCAACCTTTGTTACAAGGCCTGGCCGAATACACTGTTATAGACAGTGCACCCCCTGAAACCCATCTTATGGGCTCTATGGGCCCAACACTTACCCTAAGTAGTCTCTGGGTCAAGCCACCTTGTAACACCCAGAGACTGTGGGCAGATGCAAGATTAGCCCATCAGGTATTGTCCTCAATGGTCTTACACTTAACCTCTCAGCCCATAATGATCATACACTACCCGACAAGAGAAGACATCTCCCTCAGCTACAAGGAACAGTGTTGCACTTTCTACTTATATGGATCCCAGAAATTAAAACCTTCTTGCAAACATTTTAGAAACCATAATATATATAATTTTATATCTCATATAAAATATACTTTGCAAAACAAATCTCAACGGTTGAAATTGGCTACCGGCAGTCTTGGTTTCCATCAGT